AGAGCTATTTGCTTTTGTTTTCTTGTTTTTAAAGAAAAGAGGCCTTTGCCTTTTTTGAGCCTCTTCATGGGGATTCCATTTTAGAAGCTTGGGCTTTAAGGAAATAAATAAACCAAATTCCAAGGCACACTGAGGTCTCCCCAAGAGGTGGCACTTAGAAGCGGATGGTCTCAGAAGTGAGCAGGGAGTCGGGGCGGTGGCCACTAGCAGTCACTGGCCGTCACACGGAGGAGGCAGCAGCGCCTGCGGCGGGAAGGCTGAAAACTGGGGGGGCTCACCGCCTTTCCTGAAACCAGCGCTCCGTGCTTGGCTCTTGTTTTAAAAGTCCCTTTTTGTTTTAAAGCAGAGATTTTTCCAAGGGCATTTCTCAGAGCCCCAGGCTTCCTCATCAGCGCCACGGGGCTGTGGAAGGCGCCAGATGGGTGGCCTCTGGGACCCCGCTCTGGCTGTATCCCCACTTACGTATTCATGCGTTTGTTTGAAACATGGAGTAACAACTGGATTGAAGTATTTAGTCGTAAAAGGGGTTTTGCTAAAAAGTAAAAACAGGAAGAAGGAAACACAGACCACCCACAGACGGAGAACAGTCCTGAGGGAAGGTGTCACCCCCAATGGCCTTGCGGAAGAACACCGTGGTAATGCATCCACGGGAGTCACAGCGGCTTGCTCCGCACAGTGCAGGCTCCCAGGATGGAAGCCCAAATCTCAAATACGACAGGGAGGGGTGGGGAGGTGGGGAGGTGGGGAGGTGGGGAGGTGGGGAGGTGGGGAGGTGGGGAGGTGGGGAGGTGGGGAGGTGGGGAGGTGGGGAGGTGGGGAGGGGTGGGGGAGGTGGGGGAGGTGGGGAGGTTCTGGGCCTCGTTAGAAGCCAAAGGGGGATGAGGAGGATGAGGGAAGGCTGAGCCCCAGGAAAGGGACGCATTTTAGGTCGTTGGCAGAGAGGGCCGGTAAGAACATGGACATTTGCGCAGAGGGTTCTAAACGGGGCAGAGAACGTCGAAAGGGGATGGTGCATCCCATGAAGTGGCAGATCCGGGGGAAATGCCCTGCAAACAATTTCAGAAATCGAGTGAGTGCAGAGACCTACGGCCAACAGGTGCGTTTCAAAGGAAATTTCTTAGAACCAGTCACATGACTTTGGGCCTCTCACCAACTTCAAGGATTAAAAGATTCCGCGAACAGGAAATTAAAACGGAGATTTAGGAGAAAGCTCTAGATAGAGAAAGCTGCGCTGCGAGTTCCACCCTCCACCCCATGGGGAGCGGGGAGCGGGGAGCGTGGGGGTCTCTTTTTGTAAAATAAGAATGACCAGCAGCCTCACGTGCGTGCCTGCTCGTTTCCTTCCTCAGGGGGGAAGAAACTTTTCCAATGATTTACTTTGAAAGTGGAAACGAGGGGAAAATGCCTTTTGATTACAGGCTCTCTAACCAGGTCTGTTTACTGCACCCGCTGAAAGGGCTCACGGGACAGCTGATTCCAGCCCATGGCGGTGTCTGGAGCGGGTCTCCTCGGCAACCTACAAAGTGAAACCCCGCACGCCGTGGTCAGGGGAACAGCGGTCAGTGGGAGACACCACGGAGTGTTTGGAAGGTTAGTTACACAGGTGCTTGTTCTGGGTCTCTCAGAGTGTCCTTGCAGAAGCCCCTCGCAGGTGGCGCTCCACCTGGCAGGTCTTTCCGCCTCACTACATGCCGGACTCTACATAACCCCACTTGGTTTTTGTAAAGTGGACCCACAGAGAGAGGGAAGAGAAAGGCTTTTGGCTTCTAGGGAAATAGGAGGCAAGGGTCCATGCACCCTAACCCTGAAAATCCTTCTGGTTTCTTTAGTTGTTTTGGGAGGGAAGGGGCGTCACTTGTCTCCTTTCAAAACATTGGCTGTCTGTCTCCATCGGTCCTCATTGGCTTCTTTCAGCAAGATCCTTCTTCGCAACTTCTTGCTCATGGGAAACATGGTCACAGACCAAGAAAGGAAAAGATTAATGTCTTAGGAAAAGCAGATATGGATTTGCGGTCCTGAAAGAATAGGCAAAATGTAACAGCATACCATCCAGTAGATGCAGCGGGAGTTAGACCTGGAGCGACGCTCAGGAATTACAGGAAAAAGCACGTGACAGCCGTGTTTCCCTGGGGTTTCAGGAAGCGCTTCTAATGAGCTGTTTTATGCATAAAACATTTCTGAATATTTTTTCAGAACAGTACAGAGTAATCCCCCGGGAAAAGAAAAACACATACAGTTCTATTTCTTGACCCACAGATGGGGGAAGAGCGTGTGTGTCGTGAAAACTGGAGGGAGGATTGCGCTTTTTTGGATCCAATAAAAACAGTGACATTGATCATTGGCATCTCCGATTTTCACCTCCTTGTGGGCAATACGAGGTGCATTCATTCATTCGCATGCTTAATACATGTCAGTGGTTATAGTCACCCGATGGTTTAGAGGACCAGCTCAGCCTCTGTCCCATTACTGACTGAGTGGTGGTGACAAAGTCACTTAATCTCTCTAGGCTTTAGTTTTCCTTACTTGCAAGCAGGAATGACAATGGTCCTGACCTCACAGAATGTTTGGGAACATGTCACGAACTAATAATGCAGATGTGGTGGCCTTGGGAAAGAGCTGAGCAGATTTCACGCTGCTCGAACAGACTCAACAGCCTCAGCTCCTGTCTTTTTGGGTCCGTCTTCATCGGTTCCCACAGGGCTGCCCCCAGCCGGTGACTAAGCACGGTGGGGGGACCAGTGCAGGTCATCCTTATGAGATAAGGGCCCCCCCTGCCAAAGATGACTTTGGTTTGAAGACTCCCATTGGCTTGGCGGAACATTTCTGGGAATTGCACTCAGCTTGAGACTCTTCCTGCCCAGCCCTTCCGCCCCACCCCCTCCTTCCGCAGGTGTCAGAGCGTTGTTGTGGTACGAAGTCTCCTTCTGCTTTCCGCCACCCCCTCTCCTTTATCCTTCACAGGGTTTTCACCCACAATTAACCTTTTCCATTTTATCCCACCTGAGTGCATACAAACTAACGCAGTTGGTAAAAAAACCAGCACCTGGTATCTAGCATGTGCTCAGCAAATGGCGCTTTTTTGTTATTAACAAATATATAGAGTGACACATAGCATAAACATAGAATTCCAAGGAAGGAAACGTCATTTCGAACCAAGACATTCACCAAGATTTCACATGCGAGATGGATTTTGAGCTAGCTGGAAGAGTCTGGGAAGTGAGGTTTGCTGAGATTGGGGACCAGCAATTGGAGCTTGGACAGTAATGCATGCAGAGCACGGCGACTGGGGAATGGGGGTGCTCTGGAGTGCCCGGGCTGTGGGCTGCCGTGTGCCGCTGTAGTGCCATGGACGTCTGGAAACGCAGGTTGGGGCTCCAGTGTGGAGGGGGTTTTGCTGTCATTCCAAGAAAACCTCAAATCTCAGTGGCTCACAGCAACAGATGCCAGTCGCCCATTTGTGTTACACGCTGGTGACTGCGGACCAGCTGCTATGGCTCCGTTTCACACGTGTTCTCACCCTATTCTCTGACTCAAGCTGAAGGAGCTGCCCCCATTTGGAAAACATGGTTTCCCCAGGGGGGAACAAATAGCAAAAAACAGACGTGGCTTTTGTAGCTTCTGCCAGAGAAAAGACATATGTCTGCTCATATTTCATTGGCCAAAGCAAGTCATATGGTCACGCCTGGCACTGGTAGGGCTGAGAATGCCCGGCCAATCAGGAGGCACTAAGAGTCTCATTGCAGTGGGTGGAAATCCATATCTTCTCCAGGAAAGAGGGTTCGATAAAGCAGTCCAACACAGGTAAGAAGTCATTCAGTTGACCAAGTGTAAACAGTTAATACTTTTTAGCAGGTGAGTGACATCATCGGCGTTGTTTTTGGGATATGGAGATGAAGTTGAGTGGGGGGATGAAGAGAAGGATAACACAGCACCTGTCCATCCAGGGGCAGACGAGGCCAGGCAGGCTACGGGAGTGACGGCTGGAGTTAACTGCCTTCTGCTCCAGGACCCAACTTTCTAGTCTTTATTCTGAGACCTACACTAGCAGATAGAGAAGACATTCATGGGTTGAATTCATGGGATGAATAAAATCAAATCCCTTCATAAGTATTTGGATATTGGGGCCAATTCTCAGGTTGGCCTTAGAAAACTGTGAAAAGGAAGTTGAATTTGTGTTCAGAGCCCACTCCCCTTCCTGTACTTGTCTCCTTGCCATTTGCATCCCTGTGGTCCAAGCCCCAGCCACAGCCTCTCAATCTGTACCCCAGATGCCCAGGTCTCCTCACCTGTGACCCCCAGGAATCCCTCCCAGCTACTCCCACTGCGTCTGCCCAACCTCCTGCTCCAACCCCACGTCCTCAGAGAACCACGCTCCCAGTCACTAATCCTCGGGGCCTGGCCAGGTAACTGCCTTGCTAGCTGCTCCCTCTAAAAATGCAACTCACTGCAGAACTGCAGAATGTTCCTTTACTCTCCTGTTCTGAAATGTTTATGTTTTATCATGAATGTCTCAGATAGCGAATACCTTAACTTCCAAAGAGCAGCCTCTTCTGTAAGCCAGCTGAAAGAGGTATTTTTAAGCAAGGTAGGCAGTTCAGAGCAGGCCTTAAACGAGACCACACAAGCAAGTGTCTTAGCATCCCGGGGCCTCTTATGAGCATTCTTCACCCTACAAAACTTCTCAGGGGGTCAGTTCACTCATGCTTGTCCTCGCACACCCAGGGTCAAAAAGTTTCAAACTCACGGTTTTTTGATGGGAACATAAAGGAGAAAGCCATCACCCCAAACTAGTGCTGGTTTGGTAAGTATGCCTGGGCTCATCTTGAGATGAAGGTACCTTTCACCCACCACAGAATTGATGGAGGCAATTCCGTTTGCTCTTAAACTCAATGATTCTAGCAACAGCTGCCTCTTGGGTGAATAAATAACCCGGCACTGACTTACCCATGGCATCAGGTCACACAATGATCTTCATCACATCCTCCACTGCCAGCACAGAGAGGCAAAGGCCTCCTGCAACCACAGCCTCCAGCTTTCCTGCTCCACATACTGGCGCATCCAGTTGGACCTGCAGACACAGAGCCACTTCTGAAGTTGTGCAAGGCTGAAAAAGACAGGCCACCTGCAAGCCTGGTCACTCTGTGGCCTGGCAGCTTGACCACCATGTCCGTGCCCCCGTGCCTGGGACTCTGTGGGACTTTCGGCACCAGGTTCCTTTCCACAGGAGGGAGAGAGGCAGCCTCTGCTTCTACCGCAGGTACGTGAAAAGGCAGCTATCTGTTTGTGAATAAATTTTGCAAATTTGAAGCAGAGTAAGAGGACAGCACAGGGGAAAATGGAGAAACCGGAGCTGCGGAGGCTGGGAAGACTTGGGCTGACTTGGCAGATGACAGGTTTTGTTACAGATTTTTAAAATAATGTTGCTTTAGGAACAGAAAGAAAGCCAAGCCAAGAAACATCAACAGTAAGTTCTCCTCCTCCCCCCTCTAAGATATGCTGAAGCCAGGTTTAATTTTATGTCAGGAAAGAACTCTCTCCTGAGACTTTCCTGGCTCTGGTTCAGCTGAGGATAATGTTTTCCAGCCATGTTTCCAGAGTCCCTGAAAAGTTGAAAGGAAAACGGCAACCAGTCGCGCGGCCTTGACTTTGAAGCAGCAGGGGGAGCTGTTATGATAAAGACACGGGTGGTTTCCCCTGCACGGGGGTGCTTTCTGAAATTGAGTCAACAGCCTCTGCTTGTCATTTTTGGGACCAGGGAGCACCTGGAAGACGGAATATTTACAGATGCTAGCAGCTTTTATACCTCTGATTTCAATGCAAAGCCTTCATGTTATATTTTAAAGCAAAATGGGGAAAAAGCCTTAGATATTTGTACCAGTTGCCAGCAGCCTGCCCAGCATGACAGTGTCCCGTGATTACTTCCATCACCGCGGAATGGTGTCTCGTGCTGCACGGCGCGATCCCAAAGTCTTTGATGGAATCGGATATTTCAAGTGGGACTTCCAGGGCGTAAAAAAGGAGTCTGTATAACAAGCTCAGTAAAATGTACCCACACTTACCATAGAAGGTATGTTGATACTGCCCAGGGGACTCATGTGCTTAGTAACTCTGGTTTTCAGATCACTTGGACCTGTTTAAAAGCTGAGGGGAAAGAAGGTAAGGAGGCCAAACTCACTGCTTATTATTAGCAATTTTCTCTGCTCTTCTTCGTGTTGGTTTTTTTAAGGTTCTACAGTCCATGAAAACACACCACTGTTTAGTGATGGATTAAGTGACTACTAATATTTTAGGTCATTCCCGTGCTCGCCACCTCGCATCGCTTGGTTTCTTCCAGCATCAGCAAAACTCTCTGCGTAGAACTTTCTGGAGCTAAAATTGGACAATTATGGGTGTCTCTGGTATATTCTGTGACTATTGTCTACATGTTATGGTCATGGGTGGCCCCAAGAGTAGTAAATGTTGGCTTCCACAAGAGTCGGCTAAAGGTAATGGTGACATGCAGGGAAACTGAGTCCAGGAGAAGAGGGGAATAATGGGGATGTGGATGGAAGATGGGGGGTTCGAGAAGAAAAGAGGCATCTTTGAAGGAAGAGGTTAAAACTCAGAGATCTCTCTGACCTGGTGTGTGGCCAATATGATCACCTTAAGGACTAATTTTACACGACCCCAGGAATTCCACTGTACCCACACTTACCATAGAAGGTATGTTGATACTACCTTATGGAGTGCCTCAGATTTTCAGACAAATTGTGGTAAAATAGTCTGAGAAACCGAGAAATTGTCCAGAAAGTAGACTGAGACTAATAGAGGGCTGGCAGGAATAAGCAAGATAATCTGAATATGTAAATGGAGGTGGGACAATCGAGAGAATTAGATACAGATAGGTCAACATTGGCCTTGTCTCCTCTCAGAATAATTTTGGGAAAATTACTCTTCATACCCTATAAGATCAAGAAATATTTTACATTTCTGCCCCTGAGAGAAAAACAGGCAAATAAACTGTTTTTTTTTAAATGTGGGTGGCTTACGGACATTTACCTCCTACTATGCTGATCAGCAGTATTCTCAGTGGTTCCAGAAAGTTCTGGATCATCCATCAATGGTTAGGTGCTCCTTCTACGTACACTGTGGTCTGACTGGGAGCTACCATGAGCCTCAGTTTCACCCTTACGCCGCGAGTCAGAACTATATTCCGGATCAAACAAGATGGCCTTCCTGGGTGTCCCCCACCGGGACCCCCGACCATGCTCTGGTCTGCAGAGGGGTCACTAAGGATATAATGACAGTGTTATCTGTTGGGTTTGGGGGATACATCAGTAATGAAAGATTTGCTTTGATGGCAAATTGGAGTTGAAATCTGTCCTTTTACAATTTCTGTGAATTTGAATGGGTTTACAAATGTGCCTACTGAAATGGTGTTAACTCAGTAAGACATTTGAACCTTCTCTGTCTCTAAATCGTTCCTCCCACTTGTACTCTACCAACTCTGAATTCTTTGTGGGGTATAGATTTCCTTAGGGAGTTGAGGCAGCTCCACAGTCTTCCACTGGTTTCCAGACAGGAAGCCTCTGGCCAGCCTGTCATCAACACAAGTTCATCCTCACCTTCTGTCCCCTTCCACTTGACCCAGTACAAGCATGAGCTTGCACTCTGCCTGATTGGGGTCTATCTTGGGGACACCCCCACCTTGCGTTCCCCTCCTAGGATCTCTCTTCCAGGGTTCTGAGCTACAGGTGGGCAGGGAAGAGCAGGCAAGGGAAGGGTGTCATGCTAACAGGTGTCGCCGTTACTTCTCTTTCTCCATGAGCACAGCCTGGCCATTGATGCCATCTCGGAGCCAGGCCTCCTGCTTCTGACTCTCCGGGGACTGGAGGTCTGAGTCCTTTGCACAACAGCGATTAGGGAAATCCCCCTCAACCCCGTCAAGCCCTCAGTTCCTGCTCCTGTCCTCCATAGCCTCTTGTATCTGGCGTGTGTGGGGACACTGCCTCAGAGTAGGGATTGAACAAGCTCACCTAAACTCAAAGTACTGTCCACCTCACCCACAGGGACCTCCCACCTTGGTCATTAAGCTGAGTGAGCACACACTGTCCCCTTGTAGCCCCTCTCTCTTCAGGACTGATCTCCCAGGAACCTATGAGGCCCAAGCAAATTCACAGACCCTCTTCCTCAACAAATGCCCAGCGGGGGACTAAATTATACACCAGCCTTGTGAGTGACTCTCCCAGAGAGAGGTTCAGAAAGAAAGCCTGGGCACCCCCATTTCCATTCCCCGTGGAGAAAGGAGGGAATTGCCTCTCATCTCTCACACACTTCGTTGCCATAACTCTTGAATTTGCTGCTTCTCTGTCTTGCTCCCAGTTGCAACCCGAAGGGTGGAAGCTAGTAGTACCCGGCCATGTCTGTCGCCTCTTGGGAAATGTTGACTCTGACTCCAGTAACTGTCAGTGAAGGTATTGAATCCTTCTTTCTCTGGTCATGCTTTGGGTCCTAGTTGCCAGACCCAGGAGTCCCACAAAGAGCTTGAAACAGGTTGAAAGTCAACAAAATCCTTTAGGAGAGAGAACACGTAGAATAAACATATAGACATTCAGGAGAAGTATTTGGAATCAGGGAGGCAGTCTTAAGATTTTTTCATTATCACCCATGAATTCAATTTATTTAGCAAACAAGACCCCAATGTCTATCACAAACCAGACATGATGGTAGACTCTTCTAATGAAAAGAAGCTATATCCCCTGCTCTTTAAAAGTCCTCTCCTATTGTGTAATATCTACAGTTCATGACCCTGAATGTCTAAAGGTATAAAGGTGAGGGGCTAAGGGCAGCAAAAGAAGAGAGAATGTTTTCCTGGAGAGGTCAGGGTCAACTTTAAAAAAAAAAAGACAGTATTTCAGCTGGCTCTGAAATGTGAATGGCATCTATCCTTAGGTGGAGGAAGGGACATGGGAAAAAACATTTCACGTAGAGATAGTAACGGAATGTGCAACACAAAAAGATCCCGGTGAAGGCACACACACTAAGTAAATGGGAAATTGTCAAGGTTTTAAGGCAAATGAATGATATACAGAAAGTCGTTTTAACAATCAGTTATGATATCAGTATAAGAGAGACAGGAGAGTAAAGAGCTGGGAAACAGCTGTGATCATCTGAGGGGCTGAGTGAGTTGGCGAGGCCGTGATCGACGTGTGTAACAACAGGGAAGGAAGAGGAGAGGTGTAAGACATCTTTAATCATCAAAAGAGACTGGGTCAGTGATTTTGAAGCTTGGACGTCTGAGTGTGCGAAAACACTCTGAGGTGGAGGACGCAGGGAGAGCTCAGCTGGGAAGAAGGTGATGAGCGCAGTTGACTGTGACGCGTTCACTTTGAGGTGACTGTGGGGCATCTAGAAGGAGCTGCCCGGGAGGTACCAGAGCTAGAGTTCAGAAGAGAAGTCTGCGCTGACTGTGGGGCTATTCGGTGAGCAAGCAGATGAGGCTTGAGCTAGGCAAGTGGGTGTGAGCACGTCCTGTTGGAATGTGCAGGGAGATAGCTAAAGACAGAACAGCTGAAGGATAAAGGAGGCAGGAGACGCGCTGGTGAAGAAGGGGCAGGAAAAGTCATCCAGGGAGGAAATCACCAGGGTGGAACAGCGCCTGGAAAGCCAGGGCAGAGGGAACAGCCAACCAGACCCCAGTACTTCCGGTGTTAAAGGTTAGAGAAAGGCTATGTAGAATAAAAACTGAAAAAAAAAAATCGACCATAAAGAAATCAGGAAGGACTTGGGTGATGTGAGCTTTAACCAATGTTTCTCTTATGTTTCGGAATTTGAAATGAATACCTTAAAATAGATGGTTTAGAGAACTTTAAGCTGTCTCTCAGATCAGAAGTCTCTGCAGATGCTGATTTTGCCACGGCGTATAAAATGTGCTTGTATCCTTACATTTTTCTTTAGGATAAACAACTTTTGAGCACATGAGCAAAAAGGAAGAGACCATCACTTTTAAAAAAAGCATTACACTAGACGTGAAAAAGGCCATTGCCGAAGGGGTTGGAAGTGATAACAGCAATTTTTCTCTGTAGGAAAGGAAATGACTTCGATTCAGGAAAAGCGGCTCGCTGACTCGGCAGTCAGTCACATGGCTCCCCAGGGGAAGTGGAGAGATTGGTTTTTTCAGGTCATAGTTCAGTGGAAAGTGAAGTTGGTGTTCACTTGAATAAAGCTTTCTTCAGTGACACCGAGTGTGCCGTCAGAACGGCCAGGAGGGACACAAAGAACGGGGTAGCAACACCCTCTCTGTGTTCCAAGCTTCTAAATGTCAAGTCAGGTTCCTTGCTGGAAGAGCACACAGCTTGAGGCATAATGAGAAAGGGCATATAAGTTATGTATTTATTCACCATTCTAGTCTCACCTTTTTGCATGTAAATGCACATTTTCTTGAAATAAAAAAAACATCAAGAGTAAAAGGTTTTCAAAAGTATGGCATTCTCCTGTGAATAACTGAATCAAAGGGCCACTATAAATATACAGTATTTTTTCTTACACGTATAGCTGGCACACATTATAAAACTAAAAGGATTCTCTTGTATGTTGTTTCTGCTCAAGAAATAATGGAGTTCAGAAATAGCAGAATTCAGGACAGTCTCAGAATAGGTGTGGACTCAAAGGGAGTGAAGGAGAGCAGAGGTAAGATCTCTCAAGTGCCTGCTGAGCTTCAGGCGCACGGTGAGAGTTGTGGTGATGCCGTGACGCGGTCCCTGAGCTGTGCCCAGTGCTCCAGAGCTGAAGTGCCTTCCACATCTGGGGAAGTCTGCCCGGCTCCCCAGGTCCCCTTCGATATTTATCCCACCGTGGTATTGTTATCAGTGATCTTGGCTCTGTTCTCACTCTGAGTCAGGTCCAAGGTTAACTTGGATCTGAGAGTGAATGACATGAAAAAAGTGAAGGATTTTCCTGGGCACCTCGCTATGTATGGATTGCTTCCTCTCTTCCACGAGGCTCCACCTCTTGGCTCTGTTTGCGAAAGCAAGCTGGCTAAACTATAATTAACCCGTGAGAGGCTACCTAGATAACTTGAATTTTCTTAGGATTATGGACTCCTTTATAATCCCAGAGACTTATCTATTCTACCTCATACCCAATACGGGAATCCCTCCGACATAGTGAAGCAACCAAGTGAATTATCTAGACTTGGGCACCGGACAAACTCAACTTCCACCAACAACTCTGTCACTTATGACCTGTGTCCTGAAGCAAGCTGCTTGACCACTCTGAGTGAAATGGGATGATTGAAGTGCCTTCTTTGTGGGACTGTTACAAAGACTCAATGTGATACTATATGTTACCTAGTTGGTGTGGTGCTCAGAACTTCAATGGTAGTTGGGAGAAAAAAATGACTTGGATATTTCCAGTTACCTGAAACTCACTATTTAAATGTCTTGTCCTTTCGTTAAGCCAAGAGCTCCCTTACTCCCCACCACCAGGAGCGGGGAGTCTGTCTGCTCCACCTCCTACACTGTCCTCTCTCCTCCTCACTCTCAGTCCTGACCCGGACTTTTCTGTCAAATGGCAATCGAACTTACGCCAAAATTTCTCCACTCAAATATGTTTAAACTGTGTTCCCTCCCTTAAGAGCAGGTTGTAAAAGTGACCCAGTGGTGGTTTAGCATTGATAAACCCCGGGGAGTTAGCTGGAGGGTGTCACTCTCTTACTATAAACCACCTGGCGTGTTACCTAAAAGGTACAAGTGATCTCTTTAATGAAATTTTATTATAAGATGGTATTTTTGTTTTTTCTCTGTAGTGTGATCGTGTTTATTCTTGACACTCTTATGCTGTCATTGAAACTGCTCCGGAACTAATTAGTAGATTGAAAGGAGCAGATTGATAACAATTAAACGGGTTATCCATCTGCCAGATTGATTTGTGTTCCAGCAGGGCTAGAACTGCTGGGATACAAATCCCCTCACTAGCTGTGTGCTCCAGGCCAGCCGTTTAATTTCTCTTTTCCTCTATGACTGCTGTGAAGGTAAAGTAGCATGCTAAGTGACAGAGAAAGGAGTACTCATGTAGCACGTTACTGCAGAGCCATTGAACCCTCAGGGAACGAGCGTAGTCTACAGACCCCCATCTGTAAGAGAGCAGGATGACCTGGCCTAAGGAACAGACCTGAGTTATATTAAGCAGTAATTATGATCATCAAAAGAAGATATGGAAGGATGCTCAAGTATTGGCTTTAAATATTGTTCTTTGTTCTCATTCTTTAGGTGCCCAAGTAAAGCCATGTTCCTTGGTAGTGCCTAATTTATAACACTAAGTTTAGGCTCCTTTAGATCCAGGCTATTCTATGTTCAAAGCCCAAGTGCTATACTTATCTGTTTCTGTTCCTCTCTGCTCTTCACTCAGAGGAATGACCCTGTCCTTCGATTCATTCTTCCATGAACAGAACACTACCCATTTCATTGCAGCTGCCATTCAAATAGACAGGATTCTAAAGAGAAACACAGAACCCGTGTAGGGCTTGTCCTTTCAAATCTATGAAATGATAAATATCACAACCAAGTAATAAGGCGACTCCTCTGTTTCAAGAGTGATTTCAACTGGATAGTAATAACCTCCACTAGAACCAGTATAACCTTTTTACCATGCTCCGAAAGTGAAACACTTCATTGTCTCCTCTTCAACACTCCTTTCTCACAACAAACCCATTTACTGACTTCCCTCATGTCCTGCCACTAGGTTGTGTTTCGGATGCCACATTTTCACTACAATAAAAGAATTACCCCTCTCTGCGGGATCGGCATGATATCTGCATTGAAGCTCTGGCATTCGTGAATGAACTGGGGCATGGGATTTGGGCATCCCATACATATCCCACTTCCTGACCTCACCATCAGCTGGGGGACCCCAGAAATCAGACCAACTACACCCGGAATCTCAGTTCTGTCCTCTGATCTTGTCAAGCAATCCTTGCCAGCAAATATGAATAGTCTCGTCTTTTCTGTCACTATAATTTTATTGTGAATTAGTGACCTAAAGGGATGGGAAATGGAGTCCAGTTTTAACCATGGCTCCCCAGGTGGGTCTGAGCTACCCCGGGCAAAGTACTTGGTAGTTCTGTGTCTCAGTTTCTCTATCTGAAAATGGGTATTATAGCAATAGTGTATGCATCATGGGATTATTGTGAAAATGAATTAAGTAATTTAGATGAAATGGCTGTAACACTACTTTGCATACATTAAGTTCTTAATAAATATAAGCTGTTATTAGTATTGTTATTGTTTTTTCAATTGACTCAAAACACAGCACGCGGCTAAGACAGGTGTGATACGAAATGTCAACATGGGGACTCACCTTCAGGCCTCTCACGTTTCAGGTGACCGTTCAGGCTACTCAGGGAAGGAAAGCCAAAGTCCCTTCAAGTGATATGCATGCAATATCTCCATGGAGGTAGAGGAATGGGGAAAGATTCATAACTAAAAATAGAACCACAGTTCCAAACCATGCCTTAAAAAACAAAGAACATTTTTCACATGAGTGAATTTTGTATTTGCAGCCTGTAGGAAAGTTTTGACTTTGTAGCCCCCATCACGCATTGCTGCCGGCACAGAGAAGACCCACCTAAGAACTGGCATGAAAAATACTCCCCTCGATTCTATGTCCCTCGTTTTCCCCCTTTTCCCAGGACGGAGAGAGTCACATCGGGGCAACTGTTGCCAGTTTCTCCCTGCCTATTGTAGTGCTGAGTAGGTAGTGTGTCCAAAAGTTTAGGAGGACTGTTAGGATTAGAACTTGTTTCAGTCAGAAGGAAGGAAACGGCCACTTCATTTGAGAAAGAGTTGACGTGAATACATGACTAGGAAAGGCATCTATTTATTTAAACAATGACAATAGGCCCCTCAGTATACATCTGACAGCACTGTAGACTGCCTATCATGGGAAGAAGCTGCTGCCTCATTTTCCTTTAGATACAAGAAATAGTGAGACAGTAAAGGCAAAACAAACAAAACACTGATTATCAGATAGTTCAAAGCCATTAAAAATACAGATCAAATGAGCATGCAAATAGCAGGTGATACGGTAAGTGATACAGAATATTGTACTGCAAACCTGAGCGCTCTGAAGTAATTTACTATAAAACCTTCTCTTCAATTCCAGATAACCCTTCAGATGACATCAAAAATGTATGTGAAGTTATGACTAACCAGCCAGGATAATGAGAACTAAAAGGAGGCTATCTCCTTGTGGTAACCTGATTGCAAGATGTGTTCTACGTAAAAACGACAACGCCTCTAGCAGCAAAGTACTTAGGGGAAAAGCAAAGGAAAAAGGAAGTCTCTCTTGACTCATCAAAAAAATACGAATGAATAAAGTGAAGTTTAAGGAACAGATAAATAAAAGAATGTCAAATGTTACTGAGAAGAGAGAAAAGTTTCAACAATGAAATAAATTATCTAGTTCAGATGATCTGAAAGAGAAAGAGAGTCTAGATGACTGAAAACACGTGCCTAGGGGTGACAGAAGACTAAGGGAAAAAAGTAGATTCTGGAAGAAACTAAAAAATATGACTCGACATAAGAAATGGGGAAGTTGGTTTTAAAAGTTGAGACAGAGAAATAAAAATGCCTTACATTTCATTGCACAGGATACTTTCCAGAGCACTCGGCAAAAACTGTCTTTCTTCATTCCTACTTCCAAAACTAGGCTTTCTTTCTTGTTTGTTTGGTTGGTTGGTTGGTTGTTTTATTGTAATTGTTCAAGTACAGTTCTCTGCCTTTTACTCCCATCCCAGTCCGCCCCCACAGTGTTCCCCACCTCCCTCCCATTTCCACCCCCTCCTTATTTTTGTCCACGTGTCCTTTATACTTGTCCCTGCAAAGCCTTTCCCCTTTCCCCTGAAATCCCCTCCCCTCTCCCCTCTGGTCACTGTCAGCCTGTTCTCTATTTCAGTGTCTTTGGTTCTATTTTGCTTGTTGGTTTCTTTTGTTGATTAGGTTCCACTTATATGTGAGATCATATACTGTTTGTCTTTCGCCACCTGGCTTATTTCGCTTAGCATGATGCTTTCCAGTTCCATCCATGCTGTGGCAAAGGGTAGGAGCACCTTCTTTCTTTCTGCTGCATAGAATTCCATTGTGTAAATGTACCAAAGTTTTTTGATCCATTCATTGACTGATGGGCACCTAGGTTGCTTCCAGCACTTGGCTATTGTAAATTATGCTGCTATGAACATTGGGGTGCAGAGGTTCTTTTGGATTGGTGTTTCAGGGTTCTTAGGATAAAATCCTAGCAGTAGAATTGCTGGGTCGAAAGGCAGATCCATTTGTAGTTTTCTGAGAAAATTCCATACTGCAAAACTCGGCTTTCCAATTAGCCTCTGCTCTTTTCTCACTGGAAAATACCATGAGTCTAGATAGAGATGACCACTGAGATCCCGCTGACCTAGACACTTAGTAGAGGGCGTTCCTGTGAAAACAGGCAGAAAAGCATCAAAAGGGTGGTTGTCTTGCAGTGTAGGAGAGTAGCCCAGGTACAGATCTTCGACGTGTTAATGTAGAAAGTACATAATGACATAAAGAAACAAGAGATAAGCAATGAGAAGCATTCCAGACACTCCCAAAACAGTACCTCAGCCTTTCCCTTAAAATAAGGACCAACTGTCAGCTGGTTTCTCAAAAGAAACCTTACAGTCAAGAAGGGGCTGGAAAGAAGTATTCGAAGTCATGAAAGGCAAAGACCTACATCCAAGATGACTCTATCCAGCAAAGCTATCCTTTAGAATGGAAGGGCAGATAAAGTGCTTCCCAGATGAGGTCAAGTTAAAGGAGTTCATCATCACCAAGCCCTTATTATATGAAATGTTAAAGGGACTTATCTAAAAGAAGAAAAAGTCAAACAATATGAAGAGTAAAATGACAACAAACTCACAACTATCAACAACCAAGCTTAAAAAAAACAAAACCAAAAATGAAATAAGTAAACAACTAGAGCAAGAACAGAATCACAGAAACAGAGATCACATAGAAGGTTATAGTTGGGAGGTGGAGGGGGGAGACTGGGGAAAAGGCACAGGGAATAAGAAGCATAAATGGTAGGTACAAAATAGACAGGGGGGAGTTAAGAACAGTATGGGAAATGGAGAAGCCAAAGAACTTATATGTACGACCCATGAACATGAACTAAGGGTGGGGGATGGTGGTGGGAAGGGTGACACTGGGTGGAGGGGATAAAATGGAAAAAAAAATGGGACAACTGTAATGCTCTAATCAATAAAATATACTTAAAAAAAAAAAGAAGGACCAACTCAGAAAGGAGTTAAGCATTCCCTAATGGAGAGGGGGACAATGAATTAGGGAAAACACAATTGACAGCATTGGGTGGATCCCGCACCAGCCCAAGGGAGCAGGAATTTTTTATCGCCCTAGCATGTGGACCAAGTGGGATTTTGAACACAGGAGAGGCATTATGAAAGAAGCACGTTAGAAACTGTACTTTGATGGGAGTGTGCCAAAGGGCAAAGGGGAAGAGAGACCCAAACAGGACTCTGTTTCCATAGCCCTCCTATAGGTTGATAGGTTGAAGTAAGGTGGTAGATTAAATTGCTGGATTACATGCAGAGGTAGAGAATCCAGAGACTATGTAAGAAAAATGACTTGTTATTGGGGGTGAAGGAGAATGAGACTCAGTCGCGCTCTAGGATGGCTTGTCCTTCTCTCCTTATTTAGATGTTTATTTGAAAGCTCTTTCCTCACAGTTGCTGAAGCATGCTCAATTCTTAGGAATGCTTCTCTTTGTAATACCTCCTATAAGACTCTTATATAATTCAATGGGAGAAATATCTGCACCGTATATTTCAACCAATGCTCTCAAATTGTTAGCAAACAATCAAACTTCTAGAAAACATTTTAATTCTAAGAAGAGGCCTCTGAGGCCATCCTTAGTACTAACAAAGAATAGGGAATATAAATACCACAAGGAAAACACCACAGATAATCTGAAAAGTGGGATTTTTAAAGCTCTAATTTGAATGAATGCAGATGGCAAAGGTGCTATCTGAATCCCCTCTATTAAAAAAAAGTGTCTTGAATAGCCAGTGCCACCCCATTTTCTGTTAACAAAATGAGGGCAAAATTAGAACTCCAAATTTTCCCTCCATCCCTGTTATAAAAGGAGGAGGGAAACGCAGCGGAGTCAAAGGCACACTTGAACACCAAGGCCGGATTGTAGAAAAATCCTTTCTCAGAGTAGGCTGGATTTTCTCAGTCCATTACTTCTATAGTTTTGCCCTTTGGTGAGTCAGGCCACACCAAAGAAGATGAGAGTCCCCAGCAGAAACCTGGGACCTGCCGTGTCTCTCCTGTCTTCCCTTAACCACTCCCCAAGTGAACACCTTGACTTCCAGACCCTTCCTCGTTCTGCTTGTTGTTCTCTGTATACAGTACAGGGTTTCTGTTTGCCTCCTGAAGGACACGGTCCCAAACTGTACCTGTGACATACCCAGACTGGATATTTTAATTACCATGCCCAGTTGCCTACCTGGGCAGTCAGGCTGTAGTGTTCATTTATACTGAACTTTCAGAGAACTAACAAATTCCAGGAATGAGATTCAAGCAGGTCGCCTTCTTCTGATTCCTCTGCATTTGATTTTCTGAATCCAAGTTAGGATTTTGCATGTATCCCTAGTAAGTAACAATGAGATTTAGCTCTCATTTCCATGCTCCTGAGATCTTTTCAAGTCCTTGGTCTGTCATCCAGGGCACTTTTTCTCTGTTACGGGTATGTGTCGTCCAAACTCCTTAATGTTGATTGGACCCTCATTTTTAAAACGTTGCTTTCTTTCCTTCTAAAAATTACATTCTTCTTGTTCTCTGTCATTTTTTTTTAATCAATGTGTGGTTACCTCTTGCATGCCCCCTACTGGGGACCTGGCCCGCAACCCAGGCATGTGCCCTGACTGGGAATCGAACCAGGGACCCTTTGGTTCCCAGGCCCACGCTCAATCCACTGAGCCACACCAGCCAAGGCTCTGTCACCTTTTTCACTTCTCTTTCTCAGTCTCCCTTTAGGCTTTCTTCCATTTACCCATTCACTCATTTATTTGCTAAGTCATGAAATAAATATTTATTGGGCAACTCCCCTGTGCCAGGGACTGGGCTAGTGTCCTGGCTGGAAATAACAAAGATGAATCACAGCCCTTGTTTTCAAGCCCGTTCCACAGCGTCCCTCAGCTTTCACTTAGCACTGGGCAATTTTACCTACAATCATTGCTAAAAATGTATACTCTGCTAAATCCTAAACCAAAGTATTCCGCTTTATCATGTCTTGAGGCCTACATGCATGTTTTCACTTCTTTACTAGACTTCACTTAATTACCCCACAAAAATCCTCAAATTCAACATGGCCAAAAGCTAACACATAATTTATCGCTACTGCTAACCCCTTCATGACACTGATCTTGGTTTATGGGACCATCGTTTGCCCAGTCACCTACACTAGCCAACAGGGTGTCACCCTTGATTTCCCTTTATTTACCTTTCACACACAATGGGTTGCTAGGTCCTGTCAAGTCCATCTCATCAATACCTCAAATCCCTTTTCTCTGCCTCCCTGCTGCTACATTTTGGTTATCTTCTGTGAAATGGATTATTCTTATACTCTTTAACTGTCTTCCATACTTCTTATCCCATTCTTTCCAAACCCATCCTCCATACCGCTTTCAGGATGCCGACAGGAGTTAAGAGTTTTCCAAACAATGCCTGCGATACAGTAGCAAGACTTCAATGACCAAAAGAAGTACAAAACATGAGTCAAAAAGTAAACTGTGAAAAGAAGATGAAGCTGGTAATAATACCTAACACTTAGTCCTTCTCACTCAGACCCTCGCACAGTTGTCAGTGCTTTACACGCGTCAGCCCGTTCAGTCACAGGTGCCCCCTGAGAACACATGAGGAGCTGAACGGTGAGCTCGTCCGAGGTCACTCGGCGGGTGAACTGGTCAGCCGGAGCCCCAGCTGTCTTTCCCCAGAGCTCACGCTCTTACTCGCTCACCATGCTGCCCCCGAAGAATGAAACGGAAGTACAAAAGTTATGCCATGAAATTGTATGCACTTGCTACAGGGAGTCGGCAGATTTAACTCTGAACTCTCTGAGGGCCACCACCACCAAGAGCAACGCAGCTACAAGATGTACAGTATTGACAAGTAAAAACAAACCAGTTGCCCGTGGGAATCACTGCCATATTTAATGTTCAGATCCACTTTAAAAAGTGGGGGTTAGCTAACATAAGACAATCGGGCTGCTTCAGACCGTCAAGTTCCAGTGCTCTCCCTCCCAGGAGCATGCCCACACCCTCCCCTTCCCTCCTCTTCCTCTCCCCCAGGCACGGTACCTCTGCCTTTCTGTCTCCTAAGCTCCCAAGGCCCTCCTTTTGCTTCTGTAACTTGTTTCCTGAGCCAGTGCAGCCCAGACATTTCACTTGTTACCTCTGAAACTATCTAAATACAGTTTCTCTTATAGCTTGAAAAAAAGGTCAAGTTCTTTTGGTGGAATCTATCGCCTCTCCTGATGAGAGGTAGATAGTCCTACAGGTGCTGTCCCCCAACAGCCACACCATGCCACGTGGGTGTGCTGGGGTGAC